TTGGAGTTGAGTGCCCTCGCACTAGCGGGATTCGAACTCACAAATCTCAGTGTTGACTGGCTAGTGATTTAGAGTAGTTGAACTACTTTTAATTTCGGCCACCATTCATTTTGAGATAGCCATCACACTTAAACCTGAGTTACTACATCCTTACATATTCACTGACCAATAGTAGTTAGGCAGAAACTCAATGAAAACAATTTCCTGTACGAAATTACAAGGCCTTTTATGCCTGGAAATCTGGTGTAACCAGGGGTAATGAAACAGGAAACATAAATTCATATCACATACAGGCATAGAATAAATGGTAATCTTGGCGTAAAGTACACAGGGTAATACACTGATTTACATTTAATGTAGTATTTTGTAAGGTTTATTAATCGACCAGGCATACTCATTTGCATATTACATGTATTACGCCTGGTTTTCTGTTGACCAGGCGTATTCATTTAAATATTATGCCAAATTTTAAGCCTGGTTTTCGCCTCAGTTACGCTTGGCTTACTTATAGTTTATGTCTGGTTGATGCTGGACATACATTCCCTAAACACTGCAATGAAGCCAGAATATGGTATGATTTCCCTGTCATTTACAGGCGTCACATTTAAATGATTTTGTACAGGTTGAATACTGATATATATGCTGTAAAATAATGTACACACAAAAAGTCATGGAGGTTTTGATATTTCGACAATTTAGATGATGGGCCTTTAAGAATGGTAAAAATACTCTAATTATTGAGCAACAGTGTTGCCAATTTTTATAACTTGATTGTCATGCCCTAATAATAAAGACTAAAAATATTCAGTTTAATTCTGAGTTGGGTGCATGGATATTTTAATTGACAAATCTGGTTGATTTTACTTGGTTTTTAAGAAAAGAAAACTGTAATCCCCTTTTTTCTTTTTATGTTTTTGATTTAATTGAATATTGGTACATAAATGAAACAAGATTTTTAGTCAATGTTTGTACTAAATGTACTGGTTTTATGAATGAGATTTTTCAACTTCAATTAAGATCAAAACCAGATAAAGTCTGTCTATTTATTAACAGTCAAGGATATAACTCTATAATGTTATTAGAGAAAAATAACATACGCTTGTTTATATTGTGGACAATAAAATCAAAGAACTGTGATAACATATGTATGTTACATGTTTCAAAGGAACAATATACATCATTAGTTTTGTTAAAATGTATACAAGTTCTATTGATATTGCTACTGTCTTTATGTATACTTAACTATAGAAAGATATAACAGTTCATAGTTTGCCAATCATGCATAGTACACCTATGTTATTACAGAAAAAATATGCCAGTAATAACTAAAGGGTGTTATCACAGCTTCTCTACATCACTTCAAAGCATTTGCTCAGACATAGATCATGCTCAATTACAATGTATTTTAATTTATTGTAAGAAGTAATGATCAGAGCATGTTATGAGGTTCTGTGCAAGCTTCCCAGTAACTCCCAAGTGTCACATTTAATAAGTTACATGCCTTTAATAACTAAGCCTTGTTATTACAGCTAAGTTAATCACTTAAAAGCCCTGTCTCATTGATTTACCATGGTTAATGAAAAATGTATTAATCTAAATTAATAGTTAGTTATCAAGGCTAATGCATTCAGTTTCTGGCAAAGCTAAAATAAAAACATTTATGATCTATTTTACCATAGATATAATATATGATTTTACAAATAACAAACATATGTTACTACAGATTTAGTAAATTTAAGGATTAAAGAGTAGACAACTCATAAAAGTATCTGTAATAACAGGCAAGTTATTTTCTGTAATAACCCTATAGAGTTATATCCCTGACTGATTAAAATGTAAATATCTAAATGCTATAGAGGTTAGAACATTTGAAAGATTATATGTTGAAGTTAACTGATTCACATTTTTGTGGTTTAAGTAAATAAATGATGCTTAATCAGCAAGTGTTAAACAGAGAAGCATTTTAAAGAGGCACATGTGGGAAATTAAATTCATTAGGGAAATGGATTAGTTTAAGGTAGCACTACAGTCAGAATTTTCTGACTCCAACCAACAGTCTTTAAAGATTAATTTCTCCAAAACTACTCAATGGATTTTTAAAATCTTTAACTTTAAAGCTGAAATATAACTCTTTCTTAATCTATAGATAAATTTATTTTTGGTATGATTAATCTCAAAATATAGCTCATTAATTGCCAAAAAAGTGGTCTTCCAACTTGGATGAAAATGGCACATTCAGGTCAAATGGTAGTAAAAATTTGTTTTCATCCCTTTAATCAACCATTCACAATCTACAAAACCGTGTCTCAGATTTTTGATATATGCCTCCAGTAATTAGATATATTTTTTTTACTGCTGGATGCCAAACCTCATTTCACCTTTCTTTCTGGAGACCTATAAATTCATTTAGAAACAAATTATCCAAAAACTGGGACACGGTATTGTAGAAAATACTCCCTTCAATCACATATATCAAAGTCAAGCCAAAGGGGGTACCCATAAAGTTTCTATTTTCATTTTTTCCTTACAATTCTCATGAAAAATTGTTCTGAGAAATGACCTTTAAACTGAATTTCCTCTTAAGAACCCCTATAAATGCCACATAAATACAAAAATTCAACTGGGAACACCCCAGGAGTGTTCTGACACCATTACTTTATCAATAGAACCACACACATTGTGTCTTTGATGCTCTAATGCTGTAAAATTTTGCATTTTGTGTGCACTGTATAACACTAACTTGGCATTTGGCGGGAGTTTGACGTCACAGATTTGACCAACATCTGTGATGCAGTAATTAAATAAAGACAAAGCTCCGCCTCTGTCCAGACAGTCTAAGATAAGAGAATAACAGGATTGGCCAGCTGCATCATAATTAATATTTAACATCATTATTCTCACTATAAAGAATAATTTTCATTTGAACTTCAAAAAGAAATATAATATGACCATGATGACTGAAATTAGCTAAAATATTAAAATTGTGCATTAAAAGACATGCCCATAAAAAGATAAAGACCATCCCCTTCTTGAAAATAGACTGTCCAACATGATTAATGAGTTTCATGGAATTAAAAAAATTCACTAAAACTTAAAATTAGTTAAAATGCCTAAAATTATTTTTGAATGTAGAAGACCAAAGACGAGAAATTTATACAGGCAGTCAGAGGCTTTCAAAGATACTTTCACACTCTTTTCCATAGTTTTTTTTTTCATTTTGGTAGATTTTTTCCCTTTACACAGCTGGTATCAACAGATGATTGACATATTAGCCCCTCCCAAATGCCTATATATTTAGATTAATTACATGTGCTTTTATTTACATAAGTTAATTATCAATTTACTCAGTGTTGTGATATGATAATGACTTTGGGATTTTTACAAACTGGGCAGAATAATACTTACTTCAAAATTATGTGATAAAAAAAAACAACAAAAAATCATTGTTTATAGACTGTAGTGCTACCTTAAGTACAATCTTGTTTCCAAATCCCTTTGTTAAATTCTGAACGCTCATATTGTGTAAGTTATGTTTTCAAATAAAATATTGTTGTCTAATCCATTGAGAAAAAGAACAATTAATAAAGCACTTTGAATGTAACTGATTTTAGTCTTAAATCAGTAATTAATTGAAGATTCACTTACAGAATATGCATTAATTATTTGTCCCCTACAATTTTTACTATAATATAGAACAATGTTTTCTCGCCTTAATTTGATGGATTCAACTGTTTCTAATAGCTGCAGCATCAGCAACTTGTTGAAGTTTGTGATAAAGTCAATTTGATAAATCAATGATAATGTTGTATGCAGCTGTATAGGCATTGGGACACATTTTAGAAGACTGCTATGAAACTGTAGTTGTAGTTGGTTAAAGAGCTTACCATACACCATAAGTGGCTCCCCTTAAACTGACCTCATCACTGTAACGTTAACATTTAAAAAAAGATGTGGTAGGATTGCCAATGAGACAACTCTTCACAAGAGACCAAGTGACACAGAAATTAACAACTATAGGTCACTGTATGGCCTTCAACAATGAGCAAAGCTCATACCACATAGTCAGCTATAAAAGGCACCAAAATGACAAAGGTAAAACAATTCAAACAAGAAAACTAACGGCCTAATTTATGTACAAAATTGAATGAAATCCAAATATGTAACACAGCAACAAATGACAACCACTGAATCACAGGCTCCTGACTTGGGACAGGCACATACATACCGAATGTGGCGGCGTTAAACATGTTAGCGGGATCTAAACCCTCCCCTAACCGCTGGGACAGTGGTTAGAAAATCTAAATTTTCAATTTAAAATCAATTTTTCACAATTTGTTCATTTAGTTTGCTTACTTTAAAAAATCTTCTCCTTTGAAACTGCAAAATCAATTTCAGCCAAACTTAGGCTGAATGAGTTTCAGAGTATCTAGTATAAATTTTGTATTTTATTTTCTTGTACGTCAAGAAACATTATATAAGCCACTATGCCTAAAATGAAACATAGGGGTAAAATGCATTTCTTTGATTTTGAAGAAAATATGACAGATACAAAGAACATTTCAATGGAAGTTTTAAGCCATTCATTAATATATATTGAAAAGCAAAAATAATCATTGATGAAAGATTTAAGCAAAAAATTACAGGTGAGCGATTCAGGCTCTTGAGAGCCTCTTGTTTGAAATTGATTGCAATTTTAATGGAGTGTTTGGGACCAGGAAACAAAATTAAGAGCTCTCAGTTGCTGCATTGTGCTTAGGGTTCTGTGATCACAAGATCCTCTCTCTAGTTTTAAACTACCATTCATGTGCTTATTAAATTACTGGCTTTATGCATTTTTGTAGAGCAAATTAGAATATGATAAACTAGAAAGCAATCTTCTCAGCCAGGAAAAATAAGCACTAAAGTGCATGTAACCATTGTAACTGGTTGATATGACTCAAAATGTTGCCATGTAACATAGATCTAATAAGGTTATAACTTCTACATTCTAATTGACAGGTTCAACTGTTTGATTTGTGTTCTGGTCATGACACTGCAGAATAGCAGGTAAGAAATTTCAATTTTAGATCAGTAGAATTGCTTTTTAGATTTGTACCTTATATTATCAACTGTCTTGTCAGTGCAACAAGAAATATAATATTTATATATATGCTCACTGTTTACATGGTTTAAGTTATTTGAAAATAATTTAATGCTTTGCAAAATCTTTGGGCTATATCATGGCTGTATATGTTGTATAAACAAGAACATTGTAGATGTAAGACATTTTAGGTTAGATTTTAGAATGTATGTAACTATTTCATTTTACACAAATGGCAAATCTTATGTAGTTTAAATATTTAAAGTCAATTATACCACATTATTAAATCAAAAGACCTCAACTTTAGGTCTAGTCCACAAATCCAAGAAGAATATTCCTTTTAATGGAAATAAATGACTTTTTTAATATATGGTGGTCAATACATGTGCCATTCTTACATATCAAATGAAGTATATGATATCCCTTTTTAGAGGTTTTATATGATTTACTCATTTAATTTACCAAAATGTGCTCCAAGATGTTTTCAATGCAAACTTGATTGACGGACATTTAAGAATCTATAACAAATAAATTCAAGAACTTCATAACTAAACTACTGTGACACATACTTTATAGAACATTTAACTGGAAAGAAAGGAAAATTTCTCCCTAATCATTTGGTGTTTACCTGTCCATTTACACTTTTCCAAGTTGAGCTGCCCCAATGATTAATTACAATAGCCTCGATTGTTCTCCAAATGATGAACATGATGAAAATACATGTACCAATACTAAATAAAGACACTCAAATGCATTTTCTGTTGTATTTATTCAATATCAACTCATTTAAGTGGGTTACAAGATGGTTTAAGGTAACAGGTACGTAAATGGCTTGTCCATCGATTTTTTTAAGAAATTATATACATGTAGAACTTTTTAAAATACAAAGAAAGATCGAAAAATTTAAGTGGGTAACAGATCTACTTTAATTTCAAAGTTACAGTCATTTGAAAATGTTAGGAAAACACCATAAAGTACATAGACATAACGTCAAATTTACACCAAAAATGAGAAATTTCAAGCTTAATTTAATCTGCAGTTAAAACCATTCCTACGATTTTTCTATAAAAATTAAATGTTTTTATGATAGAATTTTCCTATGGTTACCGAACTCTCTTTTTATATATCAGCCGTTGAAAGGGTGTTGCCGACAGGAAAAGATAGAAATTGCATGACGTCGCCGAAAAAGCTTACGCAATGTCAAATCTCATCAGCAGAATCGTCGTCTACCAAAATAGAAATATTGTCACACAAAGACAACAACAGCTTCATAATGGTGTCTCTTTGATTATAATTTGTTCCTAAAGATTACTTCTTGAAATTTTTCAATATTTGAAATTTGAAAAAAAAATAATATTTGAAGAATAATTCTGTTAATTTCTGAAATCTGAAATGAGAAAAAATTGACCCCCCACAATTTCTTTTTACCCCCCCCCCCCCCCTTTTTTCCCCCAAAAAATTCTTTCTCTCAAGATATGGTCATAATCTCAATTCAAATTTCCAATGGAGTTTGCAACCGTAATTACCCATTTAAATTTACCATAATGCTAACTTAATCTATTTTATAATAGAATTTAAGATATAGTGTCAAATCTTTCATATGGATTTTTTTGTAAAAAAAAAAGATGCAACATTTGCAGATATTTTTTACTGGTCTTCCTTTATAAATATGCATTTCTTTAAACATAATTTAAAAGCAGTGTAAGGGAAGTAACCAAAACGTTGTATTTGGATTACCTCCCTTACACTGTTTTAAATTATCTTAATTGTTCATTAACCATTACTTTATACATAATTTAAAAGCAGTGTAAGGGAGTTAATTTCAATGATGTATTTGATTTATCTCCCTTACACTGCTTTAAATTATGTTTTGTACTAAAGTATTTGTCCATTAACCAGGACAACCTTGTTTTTCCCCCTTTTTTGCCCCTAATTCCTAAACGGTTTGAGCCATAACCCCCCAAAGCAAATCCTAACCATCCCTTTGTGGTATGGAAACTTGTAGTATAATTTCAGAGAGATCCATACACCGTTCCACAGTTATTGTCTGGAAACTAGAAAATGCTTATTTTTGGCCCCTTTTTGGCCCCTAATTCCTTAACTGTTGGTAACATAACCCCCAAAATCAATCCCCACCTTCCTTTTGTGGTATTGAACCTTATGGTAAAATTTTATTGAGAACCATTCACTAAAAGTAAAGTTAGAGTGCGAAAACTAATGTGTCTTTGGAAGACGACGACGCCAACGTCATACCAATATACGACCACAAAAATTTTTTTTGCGGTCGTATAAAAATTGCTGAATTTTTAGTTTCTGTTCTCTACTCAAGTTATTTTTTTATTATTTTTTGTTCATTTTGAAAGACCATTTTACTTCCCGTTTGTCCGTGCACAAGGTCCCATCCCCATTTCGATTCGCATTCAATTTTCTTTTCCTTTTCTCTTGCTTACCCTTCTGATGTAATTCCGCAAATTTCATGTCACTCAGCAATTTAAAACTCTTGTTCAATATTTTTATTAAAAATTATTTGCTTTAATCCTTTATTTTTCACACTCGGTACTTGCACTTTCCACTTCTTTTTATAGACCATATTGCGGACGTGGTAAACAACGGTTTTTATACGACCGCAAAAAAAATTTTGTGGTCGTATATTGGTATGACATTGAATCGTCGTCCGAAGACACATTGGTTTTCGCACTCTAACTTTAGTTTAAGTGAATGGATCTCTATGAAATTTTACCATAAGGTTCAATACCACAAAAGGAAGGCTGGGATTGATTTTGGGGTTTATGGTACCAATAGTTAAGGAATTAGGGGCCAAAAAGGGGCCAAAAATAAGCATTTTTGTAACTTTCAGACATAACTTGTGTGTTAGTGTATGGATCTCTGACATTGTACCACAAGGTCCCATATCACAAAGGGAAGGCTGAGATTGATTTTGGGGGTAATTGCCTCAAAATTTTAGGAATAAGGGGCCAAAAAAGGGGCAAAAAACAAGCATTTTTCTAGTTTCATGACAATAACTTGTGTGTAAATGTATGGATCTTTATGAAATTATACTACAAGGTTCCATATCACAAAGGAAAAGCTGGAATTGAGTTTGGGGGTAATTGCCCAAAACGTTTAGGAATAAGGGGCCAAAAAGGGGCCAAAAATAAGCATTTTTCTAGTTTCCAGACAATAACTTGTGTTCAAATGTATGGATCTCTCTGAAATTATACTGAAAGGTACCATACCACAAAGGGAAGGCTGGGATTGATTTTGGGGGTAATTGCCTCAAAATTTTAGGAATTACGGGCAAAAAAGGGGCAAAAAAACAAGCATTTTTCTAGTTTCAGGACAATAACTTGTGTGTAAGTGTATGGATCTTTATGAAATTGTACTACAAGGTTCAATATTTCAAAGGGAAAGCTGGGTTTGATTTTAGGGGTAATTGCCCTAAATGTTTAGGAATTTGGGGCCAAAAAGGGGCAAAAAAACAAGCATTTTTCTAGTTTCCAGACAATAACTTGTGTTCAAGTGTATGGATCTCTCTGAAATTGTACTGCAAGGGACCATACCACAAAAGGAAGGCTGGGATTGATTTTGGGGGTGATGAATCATAAGGGGTTCAAAATTTTGGGGGGGGGATTTATTTTTCCTTTTTTTTCTTTAAAATTTTCCATTTTAAATTGGTTATTTCTGATTTATATATAAAAGCAAATAATAATGATATGGTTTGAATAGGTAAATTAAAAATTTTTAAGTTCTTAGACCACATTCATTCTGTGTCAGAAACCTATGCTGTGTCAAAAATTTAATTTCAATCCAAATTCTGTGCTGTATCAAGCTTGAATGTTGTGTCCGTACTTGCCCCAACTGTTCAGGGTTCGACCTCTGCGGTCGTATCAAGCAGCGCCCAGCGGAGCATTTTATTTGTTTGTATAAACATCCAAATGTTTATATTTATGTGAGAAAGTGATTATCTAACACGAATATCAAATCAAGAATATCATTATTAAGCATATAACAGTGTGTTTCCTCTTTTTTGTCGAGAGTTGAATATCTCTTATTTAGTGTTGACAGTTGTTTTGAGAAACAAATTTATTTCTTCGTATGCAACTGTAAGTGTAAGTCTTCGATTATAGGCTATTTGCTAAAAATAAAAAAGTCAACGTTATAGTGTGAGCTTTAATTTGTTATTGTGTGTATATGCAAGTGTTTGTTCTATTCTTACCCATACTACATTTTGTATTCATGTCCCATATCAACATTCCCTTTTTTTGAAGTCTCTGATCTGTGCCGTTTACCAGTGTTTATTAAGTTTGTGTAGGGACAGCTACCACAAGGTATATACAAAATACTTCCGAGACCGTATTTTTGTTCTTTTAAACAGTTGTGTAGAAACAATGGTGCATAGCAGTTCTTGCAAGCTTTAAGTTGGTCAGCTAGTAAACCCAACTCAACCACTCTTCGACCATCACTCCATGCCAAATTACTTTCATTTTCTTGGGAGGGAAGCAATGTTTCACTCAGACAAGACATTTCATTTACAATTACAACACTTTTTGTTATATTTTGATGAGAAGCATTCAATACTTTTCCACCGAATTGACCATTTTTCTGACGAAGCAGAATACCTTCCGACATCTTGAAAATATTTTTCTGGTGTAAGGGAGATAACTCTCATAACAAGGAACGCAAATTTTCCCGTTTTCCGCTAGAGGCGTTCATTTACGTACCTCTCTTCTTAAAGTAAATGCTGACCTCATCATGATTGTGAAGATTTCAATAAATATATATAACTGAAAAAAAAACAACTCATGATTGTGAATTGGCAATTTGCTATATTAGCCTCCTAAGTTTTATCACTATAAAACCATGATAAACTTATATAATTCATTTGCAAATATGCACAAATTATTTGTAAATTGTATTACAACTTCTTATAATATTGTACACATATTTTATTTTTCAATTTGTTCAA